TTTTTAACAGGACCTTATGGTCCTGGCTCCGTATCCATTCTGGGGAGCGTCAGTCCGATTCCTATAATTCCACCGGCAAGTCAATAACAACTTGATACAAGATTAGACTCACTCACGCATCATTCCGTCCGACCGAAGGATCCCTGACCATCATTGATTGCTCCCAGACTGGGAGGATTGACTGTCAGCTTGCCCTTAAACCACCAGTACTTGGCCCAGCTATCAAGTCCGAGCCTCCAGCGACCGGTATGTCGAGCCTGCCAAGCCTGGCAGTACCAGTAGCTGGACAGGCCGAGGCTGGGGGGACCAGTTGGAAAACAAAAACAGCAAAAAAAAAGAACAAACAACAACGCTGTGGATGTGAATGCAGTTGGATGCATTCTCCTGAGTGCTGATGTGAGCACGTCGCAGTTTGGGTGTATCAGCCCCGTGGCGTTTCTGTCAGAATCCAAAAGTAAAATAAGGAAAGAAAAAAAAAAACAAAGAAATGAATCTCAAAGAAGGAAAAAAAAAAACGAAACATGAATTTGGCCCTGAAATTAGTTAGATACATTTGTCTGTGTGCAAGTGTGCGTATGGGCTGTTCAGTAGATCACGGGATATGCCCTGCCTCGCTGCCAGGGGAATCTAAGAAAAATGAAAAAGTAAAACAAAGCAGAAAAAGTAGACATAGTTAGAAGCATTCCACCAAGAACATACATGACCACGACCCCGCCCAACTTAGAAAGTAGTTCTTTTTTACTTTTTGGTTCTTTCTTCTCTACGTCGCAATTCTCAGCGACCGGCCGTTCATGTGAACGACCCCCCTCAAATGTGGCGCGTTAACGGGACACGACCGCGGCCCAGCTGGGCCAAGTACTGGTGGTTTAACATAACATTTATTCCTCTCAGGTAACCTTTGAGGCCCTGTCAAATCTTTCTAATTTCAACAAGAATCACATGGAAGAAAGCTATTTTAGCCCTACTGCTTTGCGCCCCGAAGTGTCCAGGTCTTCCTTTCCCGGTCTCCCCTTGTTCGGATAGACCATTGTGGCTTAGACAGGGTTACTGGCTTCCGCAGCCTGCTCGTTTAAAGTTTTCTTCTACTTCGGCGGGGGCTTTTGCTAGCTCCTATCTCATTTCTCCCATCTGAGTGTGTCCCCTTCGATCGTAGCAATCTTGTCGTGTAGCATCCATCTTCGGAGAAAAGAGTTCCTGTTGTCCGCCATCCTGTCTGGTATCTTTGTCGCCGACTATTTGACTGAGAGCAATCTGCAACGGATATCCGTCTCCACCAGGACTGTTAGCTGGGCCCTAGGTCGAAAACTCAAATTGAATAGTGCTGCTAAGGTTTTCAAACGTTTCTCTTTTCCACTTTCCATTACCCGTGGGACTCGACCCTATCAAAGGATCGAAGAGAAGGCGCTAACGCGAAGTTCTGAATCTTAATTGGGGAATACGGCCTTGTAAGATTTACTTGGAGAGCCGTATGCAAGGATATAGGTACTTTATATCTAATCTTTGGTGCAATTGCTGGAGTAATGGGCACATGCTTCTCTGTACTAATTCGCATGGAATTAGCACAGCCAGGAAATCAAATTCTTGGTGGAAATCATCAACTTTATAATGTGTTAATAACAGCTCACGCTTTCTTAATGATCTGTGCGCCGCTGTGCTAGATGTTTGCAACCACACCACTGCAACAATGTGGTGAATACCTAGGACTTAGATTCTTCCTTTGCCCTGTGTTCCCGATTGATGGTGTACTTGCATCTGCGTCCCCAGATGATCCACAGTGTGATTTTCCTGAGTAGTAGGTACCAGTTCTTCTTGCTGCCGTGCAGGGAGGAAGGGATGTTGCTGGATAGGAGGATAGTTGTGACGTGCCAGCTTCTGTACCTGAATGAACTGCTAAAGCCCTGTTTCGTGTTTCTGATTTCTAAGGGGCTTCAAAGGTACCCTCCTTTTTGGCTGAGGGGTGATGCATGGAATCAATGGCCTTCGAGGCCCTCCCACGTTTAAGACTTCTTGTTTTTCTCGGACTTTTTCACAATTTCTCTCTGGCAATCCATGAATTTACGTAGGACTTACGCGCACCTTTATTTTTTATTTTTATTTTTTTTTAATGGGAACAAAGCTCCAATCTATTCGTGGGGAGCAGCACGTGCTGGGAAGCGGGCCCAGCGTCCCATATGAAATTTACATAGACGTTTGAAAGTTTGAGATACCGGGGCCATTACCCGTCTTTGGCTAAGAAACAATTGAGCTACTGAGAAAATTAGTACGACAAACTTCAGAGATAGGCAAAGTTCAGAAACGACTCAGAAACCCCCCATCAATCCTCTGTACCTCACTCCGGCAAGACTTATAAATTCGATACCCTTACTGTGCACCTTGTACGCATTCCCTTATTAGCTGCCGAACATGATGCCACCACCAGTACCCTTTTCATTGTTGGGGTTACAAAAATAAACAACGTCAAGTTTGCTAGCCGTCTGGGATGGTATCATGTCAATCATGCAGGCTGAAGTCGTCATCCTCATCAGAATCCCTCTTGCCCTGATTGCCATGCTGGCCTCGTGCCACCGTCCTCCCCCGAAAAGAACGTATATGATCATTATCGACAATTTATTGCCATACCTAGACTGAAAGTTGCCCCAAATGCAGCTATAATGACCATACGAATAAGATTTAGAATTTTAGAATATTAAATATGATGGATAAACAAAGAAGAAGATGACATGAGCTTTAGTATCATGGTGAAATCACCTTCTCCCCATCATCTCCTTGACTACGCACACCGCCAAGGAAACTCAACCGTTTGACTCAAACGCCTCTCAGATTGAGGGGAAGGATGACCATACGTTCTACTCGGGCTGGCAAACAATCTAGAAGGTCTCGTATCAAACTCCTTTCATGAACAAGAAGGATGACACCAAGAGCAAAAGCTTTGCTCATGAACCTGAGCAACTGCATGGGAAGAAAGTGAAGCACCTGGACCCTAATGGGGTAGGCATCAAGAGTCGTTCTCGTCTTCAGAAAAATGTCCCTTGTCTATGGAGAATGGCCGTATCCTCACGTGAATTTTTTTTGGAGCTTTGTGTGGGCCACATAAGAAATGTGGAAGATCAGCATCAGCAGCGCGCAGACGACCTGCTTCTGAAAACAGCAGACACTACCATCTTCCCCCAAACACAACGCACCCTGCTAATTAATGTATACAAGTTATCTTTCCGGTCTGAAACGGTCATAACGAGGGTGAATTGTGTTCGGGTGAAGAAGGTAGTTGTTAATTAATGTATACAAGTTATCTTTCCAGTCTGAAACGGTCATAACGAGGGTCAATCATGTTCGGGTGAAGAAGGTAGTTTGTAGCACATATTGTATCAAGACCCTCCCAGAGTCCCAGCATGGCCCA